CACCATCATCAAATAGGAGAGAACAAAGATAACTACAAAACTCAAGTTTTGAAGTCGTGTGATTATAACTGATATGATTATGAACTTTAATGTAGTGTTACACATATATCAAACCAGAATATTCTATCTATGACCACATAACTTAGTGTTTTTAATCGGTACTGGGAATTTCTTCAGATAATCATTAATCACTTCTTTGAATCGTATTTTAAATTCCACTAAGTTTTAAAATAAGGTCAAAAATGACAACAATTAGTGGTGGGAAATTCAATCGATGGCTTTTTGATTCCTTCATATAAAAAACTAATATCAAGGGGATAAAAGTTCAAATTATGAATTATGATATACATATAGGGATTACTGGTCTAAAAGCCTTTCGAATCAACCTGTTTTGAAATAAAAAAAGAATTGAAATTACATATTGACCCTATTCTTTGAAGGATGACGAATGATTATGAAGATAAAGTATAAGTTGTGTCAGTATTGGATTGATCAGTCCCTTATCCCTTGAATTCTTCCCAATGTCATCTCAATACAGTGACAATAGTCTGTACGATAGATTCAGCAACTTGTTTTAAGTCGTATTAAGATAAAATGTCTCACTGTGCATCGGTGGCTAAGCGGTAGAATGTTCGCCAACCATGCATGTGGTCCGGAGTTCGATCCTCGACGGCCGACGCACTCCTTCACCTCTCTAAGCCAGTAGTGAGACAGGTAAAGAGGGAAGGTTGGGCATAAGGTTAGGAACCTCATTCTGTTAAAGTAAACACCACTGCTACCGAAACTTCAAGCCTCTAGTTCATATGAACTGTGATCAAGATTTGACCGGATAGCTTGAAGCCCTATGTTCCATTGGAAATGTAAGGGAATAAATTAAAATAAATAAATCTTGCTATTGTTACGAGTTGATCACGGATTGATATCAGTTAGAGAACCATTGAACACAAGCAGGGAGTACTGGACAGCTGTTTCTCTAGTCCTAGTTTGGGAGTCATTGGCAGTACGCACCCACTGCCAGGATCTTTCGGTCACAAGTAAGCTCATATACCATTCACTCACTGGGACCTGATTCAGTGACAAGCCCATTAATTCTAACTTCTACCAATTCGAGATTTAGCGTGACCTTCAATCAATGTCATCGGTGGGATATCCATCCTCGCACTTAACTGGATAGACCTCACTGGTCATGACTTACCACTATAACTGCAGGAAACTCCGTCCTTTAGCCAGCCAGTCACTAGCGAGCATCAGATTAATTTTCAAGACTTGGTTTGTAGGGATTACATTTGTTTTGACGAGTTGACCATGGATTGATATCGGTTAGAAAACCATCCGGTCCCATTGGCTGAATGGTATAGGAGGTTGCCTTGTAAACGGAAGATCCTGGGTTCGAACCGCCTGTGTATGTGCATACTGCCGATGATTCCTAAACTAGGATGAAACAGCTGTCCAATACTGCATGATGGTTTCCGATGGTTCTCTAAGTGATATCAATCGGTAACCAACTTGTAAAAACAAATTTAATCCTTACAAACCAATCATAGAAAATTCTTGTTATATTAACTGGAATGGAAATTAATGAGCAGTATCACGGTGGACTGAAAATATTCTTCGTCCCCTATCAGAAGACTTCACCATTGTCAATGGACGAAGTGAAGAATAGTCACTTTTCACTGTGAGCGTAGTATCATTCAAAATCAGCATGGTCAAACTCCAGTATTTCACATTAATCAAATTTTATGAATTTGTAAAGTGGTCATTACAATAGCTTGGAAGGCGTTTTATCAACATATTTTGGGGACCTGTCTCAAAAATAAAATAACTAAAAAGGATTTTCCCTACTTCGTTTAAAGCATAGAATAGCATTCGAACTTGTGCCTTAACTTCATCAGCTTTGCAAAAGCCTTCAACAGACAGCGTTTACCGTGAAGTACCTTGAGAACCACTTCAAAATTACGCAGTGCAGTGCCTAAGTCTTTATGAACCTCATTCAACAGCTGGTTATATGACAATGTCACGTATCAGGTGATCCATAACGGAAAACTCAGCAAAGGCTTTGAAGTGAACACAGGAGTAGGACAAGGCTGCCTATTATCATCATTGAGGATATTCCTTATTGTGGTGGACTGAGTCATGCAGCACACCCTGAGAGGAGAGCGAGAAGACAGAAGAACGTTGGACTGATAAGAAGACTCTAGAAAATCTGGATCTCGTACGTGGATGATTTATGTTAAACGTCACACAAACTCGAAGGGTTACATACAAAGAGCAACACTGGCAGAAGAGGCTAGCAGCATAAACAGGACTCCAGGTGAACATAGAGAAGACGGAGGTGATGAAGATCAACACCAGTCAACAGCAACAGCAACAACAACCAGCACCAATCAACATCAACTGGAGAGATTTAACAGAGGTTACTTCCTTCACTTATCTAGGAAGCATCATTTCAGCTACAGACCAGCGGAATGGATGAAGATGGAAAAGTCAGAATTGGAAAGGCAAGACAAACCATTATCACTGTAGAATTAGTTTGGAAATCTTTTGCACTCCGCAGCATAAAAAACGGGACTGGGATTTTTAACACAAATGTGAAGCCAGCCAGTCAGTTCTTCAATACGGGCCGGAAACTTGCACTGCGTATCACGAAGAGGATTTCCAACAAGTCACATGCTTTTGTCAGCACCTGCTTTCGCTCCATTATGAAGATCAGGTAGCCAGATGGCCAGAAGGAATTAGCAAGAAGAAACTCAGGCTGGCGATGAACCAACCAAGAGCCGATCGCTCAACAAGCATGTAGGAGAAAATGGAGATGGATCAGGCATACGTTGAGAAGACCGTAGGACGACATAGTGAGCAATGCATGACATCACTCGAGCTGAGTCTCGATGGGAAGCGACGAGTATGTCGTTGGTGCGAGGTTGACATGGAAGATATCGTGTAGTGAGAAGATGAGACATTATGGGCAATCGTGGAGCTAGCCAGATGAAGTGGACAGCGGGAAATGAAACAGAGTGGATATGTATTGTTGAAGCCTCCATCTTCCACTCGGAACCCAAGGGAATAGTAATAATACTTTGTTTAGTTTTATGTTGTACAAAGGAGTAATGCGTTTAAAAACGATCCTCAAAAACTGCTACCATTCACCTACTTTAACTTTGAATTATGAAGCAGAACTCATGGCAACTAGTGAAAATGTTTACCTCGTCATTTCTAATCCGTTTGGTTGAGGGTGGAACACAGGACTTCAGCGGTATATAGCCATTTAATTCTGTTCCCTGTAGTTGTCTTTATCTGGCTGCGCATTTGTCCATAAGTTATCACCTTCTCCCCATAGGATCTCCTTCGTGTCGTCATCGAACCTACGCCTAACTCGTCGCTCGTTACTTATTCGAGCTTTACTCGAGAGTTTGGTGTGTGACTTTACTTAAAAGTCTTCTTAACACATGTCCAGTCTATATCTACTTCTCTCCATGTATTCTTCTGGCAATAGGTTCTCAGTCGATTCATTTTGAGAGTTCCTTTTTGGTTCTGGCCACTTGATCTTCAGTATGAAATTCTTAGATGGCTCATTGGCAGTGTTTTAAATGAAAAGCGCTCCAAATCACTCAACCGTATTAAAGAACTGACTCGACATTTGTATCGTAATTTCTTGAGTTTATTCAGTTAAATATTTTCGATAAATCTTTAAAGATATAATATTCAAGAAACTTCGTCCATTCATACTTGAATGGTAATCACTATTTCTTTCGAAATAAGCGCCTTATTTGATATATTATTGACAAATGTTTTAGTATTCACCATGTGTCTGTATTCAAGTGTGAGCTCGTAATCAAACCTGTAACCAGCTGAACACCACAAAACAATGCCTGATAATTAATGTTATGCTCACTAGCGACTGGCTCGATACAGGAAGTCACCTGGAGTTCTAATGAGAAGTCGTAACTAACGGGTTCATCAAATCGGGTAGGCGAGCACACTTATTTACCTGTCACACTGGCTGGCGGTTGCGCTATATAAATCGCGAACTTCCAGAAGTTGGAATTCGCTGACCAGTGGATCGGATCCCACAGGATGAATGGTCTACAAGCTCTCCTGGGTTCCAATCCTAGTAGGTGCGTACCTCTGGATTCCCAACCAGTGTGAAACGGCTATCCAGTACTCCCTGATGGTTTTCCAATGGTTCTTTAACTGATATCAACTCGTGACCAAGCATATATTCAAGAGATTCAATAAATAATAATAATTTGCTTTATTCCAAAACAGTACTTGTGATACAGAATGGAATTCTCAGCATTTTTACTACAGTATTGCATCCAGTTAGTACATTATCAATAAATAGAATTATACATAGATTAAGGAAATCTCAGCTCATTATGACAACAACATATTGGGATGTCGGTAGCAATGCCAAAGCTGAACAGTGTTTGAAGGTGTTAGAAAAGTAGGTGCTGTCTTATTTACTGGCGTAAGCAGAAGAAAGAAACAAAGCAGCACATAACGGAAAAACGAGGGAGAGAGAGAGAAAAGGAAAAGAAAGAAAGAAAACGTTGTACCTATAAATGATATGAGTTGGAAAGACGAGATCCAGTTGTTCTACTGACTATTTAATGAATTGTAGGTGTCACGCCTAATGCTTTCTTTATCACACAGAACACGAGCTAAGTAGGGTATGGTTGAGTTTTTGTACTTGCTTGTGCGAGCATATAGTTTTCTATATAAGCTTCTGGTTCTGCCTGATGAGATACAAGGGGAGATTTGTGAATGAGGAGGCTGGTGTGAGTTAGATAGAATGGATTCGGCCCATTTTCGACATGAGTCGAAGTGCCTGCCTGTCGACCAGAATATTAACAAGCTGGTTAAGTGGCACATTGCTTACTCAGCTGACAACCTTTAACATCCTGCGTAATAAAGTATAGTCTTTCTTCAGTAGCCCTGGAAAAACTAGGGGGGGGAATTTGATGTATTTCAATGTCTTTTTCTTTTTCATTTATTTTCTTTAGTCACAGTTATGTCCAACTTTAAAGCCTGCAGTCAATTTCGATCCAGAAGGTGACTGTGAACGACTGCGTAAAGCAATGGCTGGCTTGGGTACAGATGAAGCAGAGTTAATCGAAGTTATGGGTCATAGAACAGCAGAACAACGTCAAATTATTGTACAAAAATATCGATCATTATATGGAAAAGATTTAGCCTCAAAATTCAAATCAGAAATTAGTGGACATTTTTATGATACTATGGAAGCCTTGTGTATGACACCAGCTGAATTCGATGCTAGTGAACTTTATCGAGCTATGAAAGGCGCTGGTACAGATGAATCAGCAATCATTGAAATTCTATGCACACGATCCAATCTTCAATTGAGACAGATTAAAGAAGCCTATGGACGTCGTAAGTGACATTACTATCAAAAATTAAAATATTCATGATAAGAATTGAAATAGCCTCCATTAGTTATTCCTCATGGAATGAGTGATACTAAAAAGTTGCGAGAACATTTCAATCAATGATCTCCGAATTTTCAGGTATTGGGTTTGTAGAGATTTTGTTTGATTGCTTGGAAGATTTCATCATGAGCTGACATCAGTTAGGGAACCACTGGAAAACCAGCTAGGAGTACTGAACAGCTGTTTCGTCCTAGTTTGGGACTCTTCAGTAGTACGCACCCGTGACCAGTAGGGTACAGCAGGTTGAAGATGAGGCAGTAACTCATCAAAGACGACATTGCGAAATGGTCGCTCTATGTCGTGCATTGGCAGAAGTTAGAATACATGGACTGGTAATTGGATCGTGTCCGAGTGGCTTTATGGTCTACGAGCTCGCTAGTCTTGTAACTAGAAGGTACAGATGTCGATCGTCGGTGAATGCGTACTGTGAAGAGTCCTAAACTAGGACGAAACAGCTATCCAGTACTCTCAGCTGGTTTTCCAGTGGTTCTCTATCTGATATCAGCTCATGATGAAATCCTCCATGCGATCTCCGAATTACTAATATGATACTCTACCAACCTAAGGGGTAACTAAGTCAATAGGTCCCTTTGGTCAGCTGGTAGAGAGATGAACTTGCTAACTGACTTAGTTTCAACATAGAACTTTGCACAGAAATGCCAGTGTAGTTCAGTTTGCCACATTCCATGCAGCTGACAAAGATGAACAAAATAGAGGAGAAATTAGATTCAAGAAATCATAGTAATGAGCAAAAGTGTGATGAGGATAGAATAGTGGATATGAGAGGTCACAGAGAGTGAATGCATCTGCGCTGCTTAGAACTGTTTTGAGCCATATCACCGACATTGGTTCTTAGTACCCCAAGGACCTCTCCATGTGGTTTAAACCAACGTTCATGGTTTGGTCACATGTGACTCTTCTTCAAACTTATCCTATGTCGGTTAACATTACTCGTCGAGGAAGGCGATGACTTGGCAACATATGTTCTAGCCATCTTAATCGATTAAGCTTCACAATCCCCCCTACCTAACACTTTATGATGATACGTTTATTATTCTTGATGTGAAAGCTGACAAGAATGAAATGGTAAAAAAGTTTAATGATGCACATCCATCGCTCATCTTCACCTGTGAAGAAGAACATGATGGTAGACTACATTTCCTTGACATCCAATTGAGCAGAAGAGAGGATGGTTCACTCAAGAGAGATGTCTATAGAAAACCTACATCTGTAGGACAGTATACACATTTCCTCAGTTTTGTACCAATCTGATACAAAATCAATTTGGTTAGATGCCTCACGAATAGAGCAAGACGTATTTGTACAGATGACTCCCTAGAAAATGAGCTAGGATATATCCAAAATACGTTGGTCCAAATGGGTTATCCTAGTAGATTTGTAAGAAGACACATGAATACCAGGTACAACAAAGAAAAACTGACAACGGTTGAAAAGAAACAACTGTTCATGAAACTGCAATTTAATGGGGACGTGGCTAGCGAAGTCTTACATCTGAGATTATCGAGAGCGATAAAACGGACTTATACTGCCGCCACCCTTTGTTTGTCATTTTCCGGCCGACCAATTTTGATTGCTCAAGTGAAAGATAAGCTACCTAGCTGTCCCACTTCGATGTGTATCTATAAATTTACTTGCTCCTGTGGAGAAAGCTATATAGGGCGAACAACTAGACAGCTTAACAAACGCATTAATGAGCATCTTCCTTCATGGTTCGGAAAAGGTCAAATAAAATGCATACGAAGTTCTATTTTGGCTCATTTGATTGATAGCGGTCACCAAGTGGACAAAAATAGTGCTTTCAAAGTTATCTATCGCATTCCATCGAGTCTGTCGAACGGAATCAGAACCCGTCTTTTACACCAAGCCGAAGCTGTGGGAATTCGAGAGAACAATCCTAGTCTTTGCATACAAAAGAAGTTTGTTTTACCTATGTCTCTCCCTTGGCCTAGGTGAATTCTATTCAAAACCCTCCCACCATTTCTTATCTTCCATCTCCTTCTTACTTTCATGATATTTATTTAAACTGTGATCATCGTTCCACTTCACGTTTTAAGATTTGTCCCAATTTATTTATACACTTATATACATATACTATCTTTGTTATTCTTATCACCTGCATAAACCTTATTATCAATATTTTGTTATCATTATAATCATCGTTATTAGCTACGTTCAAAACATTTACCACATTATTATTATTATTTGATCCACAAAATCACCGTCATTGGTTAAAATTTTTTTATATATAAATCTATGTAAATTAGAGTAAAGCCTGAAGAAGATCTAATTGAAAACAATATTGTTCGCTTATATATCTTGTTCTAACTTTATGCTTAACCCCAAA